GTTTTGAAGTGTTCCTTGGAGTTTGGAGTAAATTCCTCCAGAAACCTAAATGGAGTTCCTTCTCCATGTTTTGCTCATTTTCCTAGTTATTTGTAAGGGAAACATTGAGAAGATTTAGGAAACTGTGTCCCTAACAGACATTGTGAATCAACTGCCAAGACATGGTCTGTGAGGTGAAATGTGGGAACGCCCTGTGTGAATTTTAGTTTCCAGGAGAGCTTGGGTACTGAATCTTCTTATGAAGTAAGTCATATGCTCTGAAGCAAATATATCTGCCAGATATTTTGAAAGGCTCCATTACTTCTGTGCTTAGTAAGTTACAGCAAACTTTTCAGAGTTGTCTAATAGTACAATTTAGTAGTGCACTGAATCTAAATCCTCTGATGTACAGACCAATACCCTAAGCACAGTTTCCACCATAAGACACCATAAAGTTTGGCTTAGAACTAGACAGGAAGGGAAGGAGCTATTGGGAGCCATCCATGTAATAGGGAGTAGTTTGAAGTTGATGCTAACTTTTAAACATTGATATGGATGTTATATCCCTTTGGCCTGGCCAGACACAGTAAAAATTTAAGTGAGGACTTATCATTTAGTGAACAAGATGGGTCAAGCAAGGCATAGCAGCATGACAAGGCCATTCTTTCCTGGACCTCCTGAGCTGTGTCCACTTCTCTCTCCTCCTGTAACTACCAGTGCCCACTGAGACTTGCCCTTTCCCCTTCAGATGAAAATATGGTTTCTCTGTGAAATGCATAAAATAAATGCTCAGAGGTTTGAAGGGATACTAAGTAAATGAAAAACGCACACACACACACATACACAATTAAACACAAATATGGCGCCAGGCACTAGTGGCTCACACCTGTAATCCTATCTACTCAAGAGGCTAAGATCGGAAGATCAGGGTTCAAAGTCAGCAGGAAAGTCCGTAAGACTTCTGTGTGAGATTCTTAGCTCTAAGTAACCACCAAAAAGCCAACAGTGGAGGTGTGGCTGAAATGATAGTGCCAGCTTTGAGTGAAAGGGCAAAAGGATAATGCACAGCTCCTGATTTCAGTCCCTAGTACCAACACACACACACACACACACACACACACACACACACACACACACACGATACCTTTTATGAAATTGCAGATTGGGGAGTAATTCAATGTTCAATTAAGACAGTCCATGTTTTATCTGAAGGGTGGATTAGATTTGAGGCTCTGAGGCCTAGTGGGCCCTCTTTCTGACTCCAGGCTGTTCTGATTCCTAAGGGATAGACTTCTGAGGTAAGATCTAGGTTCTAAGAAACCTCCCTTTCACACTGTCCATGGCTGCAGTCCTGTTCTATTACTTGCTCTTAAGAAGGACCTTCCTTCTGACTCTGACTCAGCTCAGGGCCCTGAGCTGAGCTCAGCCCCCTGGGTTGTCTGCCTAGCATGCTCCCATCTCTTCCTAAACCAAAACCACACTTCCCCTCTGGGCTCTCCTTGATGTCTGCTTTTCTGTCTGAGGGAAGACACTCCCAGCTTAGTTCGTTAAAACTGAGAGGAGACTCTGTTACCACTGTGCAGCTGGCTCAGGTTGCAGCCCACCCACTTCTCTGGGATATTTGTCTTTAGTTCATTGTTCTTCAGTCTCAGGGGGAAGGGTGGGCCTTTTGTTTCAAGCTTTTAATTAACATCTTATAAAATATGATATTTTAACTACACAGAGAATATGAATACTTCCCACCAGGAATTAAGAAAGTTATGTTTTTATAATTCAAAGCTCATTATAAAATGATTAATACAAAACCAATGCTATGTGAGTTGAGAGAGTTAGAAAAATAAAAGAATGATACAAAAGCATTCCTTTCTTAGTATTCTTATATTTACTTAAATCTATATAGTGAATCTTTCCTACAATTTCCAACAATTCCTTTCACAGAGGAAAATAAATAGGGTAATATAAGTCAAAGCAAATACAAGCCCAACTTTTCTCTTTTTCTGGATGACTTTATGTTTTGATTTCTCAAAAGCAATTACTAAGACTTAAATAACCATTTCAGAGGGATGAGACTTACAACCTCATGTTCACAGAACAGGACAATTTTTAAACCACAAAGGAAACCTGGAGATCCTAGAGTACTGTTTTATGGATGTGGAAAGTTCAAGCTTTCCCCAAGATTACACAGCTAATGAGAGGCAGAGCTCAGATGAGACTCAGGTTTCCTGGCTCTCCATTCAAAACTCTTCGCAATGTTCCTTCTCAAATTCTTCCATAGGACATATAATGAACTGATTGGCTTCACATTTCTTATGGTTGGAAACATGAGCTCCTCAGTATTCCCCATTTCAGGAGGGTCAAAGTCACATACGGAAGAACTCAGGAATTAAATGAATAGAGGAAAGACTCCAAATTGAAGCTGAAGAAACAGAGCTTAAGCAGACCATAAAGGCAGAGCAGTAGGGAGAAGTGGGAGGTAGGGATCTGCCTGGATTCCTAGCCCAGGGACAGCTCAGGTGAGGAAGCTGGCACCTCACGTGTGCCCCCTCCATGGCCCACGCCCTGACCTCCTGGCTGAAGCAGCTCCATACTTGCCACCATAGTGACCACAGTGCTTAGAAGGAGTCTTTTTAATCAAGAGAAAAAACTTTCTTAAAGTAAAAAGGGTCTTTTTTGAAATTTGCAATTTCAAATTATACTTGGAAATAGTGGTAAGTTTTGCTTTTCCAATTTGTATCTGGGGGCAATGCTTTTTTACTTTATTACATTAAAAAAGTGGTAATACTTAGTAAGTTTACTGCATAACATATAATTTGTCTCTTTTCTCTTATATACTGAGCTTAATGGTGATAATGGAATCCATAAAACATCAAACACTCAAAAAATAAAAAAAGTGTCATCAAGACTGGCCTGGATTCTTATGTGTTCTCATATTTGGGAGAGCACATTGGCCCTTTTTCTTCCCTTTTAGTCATTTCTGTGATTTTATGGATGACTCTGAAGATTCCTGCCTATTCTTACTCAATGTAACTAATGTCATCATTGTTTCACCTAGTAATAATAGTACCAACTAAAAAGTATTTATTAAAGCATCTAGAAGCTGTGTTGTATACTTTGGGATTTCTCAGTGTTGTTTGCAGTATAAGCAATCTTTAGATTTAATCTTCCAATGCCTGTTATACTTATAGTGTGAAATATTTTTGCCCTATCCCTTTCAGAGTTAATGCTTTCTTGGTGCAATAGAAATACAGTTGGCCTCCCATTTCCTTGGGTTCTGCATCTGCAGACTAAAAGCAACCACTGGTTGGAAATATTTGGAAAAAATTGTGCTGAACATATACACATTTTCCTTTGTCATTATCCACTAAAAGTAGAATATAGCAACATAGCACTTACGTTGAATTATGTATAGGTTAATGTAGAGGTGGTTGAAAAATACAGGAGGATGTGGATAGGCTGTGTAAATACTCATCACTTTCCTATAAAGGAGACAAATATTGTTGGATTTTGGTTTCTGTGGGAGGGCCTGGAACCAATTCCCCACAGTTGCTGTGGGATGACTAGAATGTATTTCTGAACAGAAATAGGGTTGATCTTCTTTGAATGCCTGCCTTGATGTTGATTTATGTAAAAGAGATACAAGTCCCTTTTAGCAGTGTCTTTAACTGTTAGAAAAGCAGAAAGGAGCTGTGCACGGTGGCTCACACCTATAATCCTTGCTATGCAAGAGGCAGAAATTGGGAGGATTACAGTTCGAGGCCAGCCTGAGTAAAAAGTTCATGAGACCCTATTTCATCCAACAAAAAGCAGGGTGCTCTGGCCCCTGTCATTCCAGCCACATAGAAAGCATAAATAGGAGACCCACAGTCCAGACAAGCCCACGCATAACCCCTATCTTAAAAATAACAAACAAAAGTGTTAGATTGTCATGCTGGTGGTAGAGTGCCTCCCTAGCATAGAAAATATTTTGAGTTATAGAATTTAATAGATTTTTTCCCCCTTGGGGCAGGTTCTAGGGCTTGAACTCAAGGCTTGGGCACTGTTCGTGAGCTTTTGTTCTCAAGGCTGGCACTATACCTCTTTGAGCCACAGCTTCATTTCCAGCTTTTTGATAGTCAATTGGAGATAAGAAACCTATGTAGAGGTTCAATAAATGAATAATTCACCTACAAAGACCTTAGAGATCAGTTACTTACGTCCTTTTCAATAAGGGAATCAAGGCTTTATACTTTCTTTCAAAGATGGACATAGTACAAGAAAAGAATACATATAGATGTAGCAGGTACATACAGCACAGAGAAAAGAGGCAGGAAACAAAATCAAATTATACACAAAGGGCTAGGATGTAGCTCAGTGGCAAAGCACTTGCCTAGCAAGTGCAATGTCCTGGGTTCGATCCTCAGTACTAAAAAAAGAAAAGACAAAAAAAATACAGTTAAAAAAAACCCAGACAACAACAAAAAAATTATAGACAAAGTGCATGTCCTTTAAATTCTTTACTGAGGCTCAAATGGGGAGATTATCACAGGTTTTCCCCAAAGCAGGTTCCATAGTCAAGGGAAAAAATGTAGAAAACCCTTTCTGAAACCCAAATCATAGTTACTATATTTCATAGTTACAATGTTCAATGCTTACAATAAGTAAGCATAAAACAAGAATAGCTCTGAAATTTGTAAGAAAAGATGAAGCATTTATTGTTTGTAGCTTGATTTAACAGTTGTTGATTTAGGACTTTTTTGTGGTAGTTATGCATGTTCTTAGGCACTGGAATATGGCAATGAACAAGAATAGATAAAATTAAGGGATGGTAATGATGGTTGCACAACTATGTGAATATACTTAATACCACTGAGCTCTTAAGTATACAGTCTACACTTACAAGTGCTAAGTGGTATATAATAACCAAAAAAAATGTCCTAGATCAAGCACTTGGGGTGTTAGGAACCTCCACCCTGGCTTAGTGGATGGGGGCCCCTGATCTAGAAGAAATGGGATGCTAATTCCCCCACCCTTTGGAACTTCAGGATGCCAGTACAGTCTGTTATATATGACCCATGAAAGCAGCTGTACCCACCTGCTGGTAGGAATTGGAGGGACTGTGTGGGTGCCAGACCGGCCTCGGGGTACTTAACTTGCAGGGATGCCTGGCCTTCATCTTAACCAATCTCACTCTACTGTATTTGTCCATAGACAGCTATTCTGAGGCGGCAGGGTCGATGCATATGCTCCACGGTTCCTGCAAATGCACAAGATGAAGCACAGAGCTTATTTGTTACAGAGGTAAGGCATTTTTCCATATGAACTTCCATTTTTAAGTATTTTTTAAACTCCCTTTTCTTTATATTTTAGAAGTTTTTTTTCTAGACAGTATCAGAAAGCTTATTTATATTGATGGGAGTTAAAATAGAATACTTGAAGTTTTCAGTCTAAAATGAACAAAAATATTCACAGAGTTTGTGATTATAACATATTATTTCCATAAAATTTTAGATTGTAGACATAAAATAAGATGTAATTTGTAAATCACTGGATTTCTCTGTTGAAAGGTATGTCATTGATAGAATTTCGATGGTGTTAGGTATTTTATTTTGCAAACCTGGGGTTTGAACTCAGGGCCTCTTAATCAGTCAGCTTGCTTGCGCAGCTTGTGTTCTAGTACTTGAGCTACACCTCTAGCCCTGCTTTTTTGCTTGTTATTTTAGAGACGGAGTATTTTTTGTCGGTCATGGGGTTTGAACTCTGGGCCTGGGTACTGTTTCTGTGCTCTTCAGCTCAAGGCGAGCACTCTACCGCTTGAGCCACAGAGCCATTTTTGGTTTTCTAGTGGTTTTATTGGAGCTAACAGTCTCACGGACTTTTCTACCCACGCTGGCTTTGAACTGCTATTCTCAGATCTTAGGCTCCTGAGTAGCTAGGATTACAGGCGTGAGCCACCGGCACCCAGCTAGAGATGGAGACTTATGGATTTTTTTTTTTTTTGGCCTGGTTTGTCTTTGAGTGTGGTCTTTTGTGTCTCAGCCTCCTGAGTAGCTAAGATTATAGGCCTGACCCACTGGTGTCCAACATTGATATAGTTTTTAATGGTTGATTCTTCCATACATTTATGCATTCATCTACAGGTTTATGTTTTCAAGAATAATGTGCTATTTGTAAGATATCACATGGGTAATAACCCAAACCTGACTGTTCCTGATCAAAGTATAATAATCATACTTATATTTGAGCATACATATAGTACCTTGCTACCTACAACACAGAAATGACTGCAGTTTAGGTTGCCAGCCACCTAACCCCTTGCACTGGGGCATATGTTTCTTCCTCTAGCTATTTTAGGTAGGAAAAACTAATTTGATCCTTAAAATTTGTTTCTTGAACTGCTTATTTGTTTAAAACTAGCTTTTGTGTCCAGTTTTTCTAATTGATGTTTAGATGAGAAAGAAGTGCATTAAGAAAATTTCCCACTGTAAAGTAGCTATGCTTTTCATAAGTGAATACCAGTTCAAATAATAGTTTCCTTGAGACATAGGTATTTGAGAATTTTTAAATGTTCTCTCATCCTGAAAAAGTAATTAACTTTCTGTCTTATTGCCATTACTTCTATGTTAGTAGAATTAATTCTAGGCAAACATAGCCAGATATGTTTATGAAGGACTAAATTTTTATTTAAAAGCTAGAGATAGGCAAACTATGACTGCAAGCAAAATTTGACCTTCAGCCTATTTTTGTCAATGAAGTTTTGTTGTAACAGCCATGCCCATTTGTTTACCTATTGCCTATGGCTGCAGTCATAATACAACTGAGTTGCCACAGAAATGATATAACCCACAAAGATGAAAATATTTACCATCTGGCCCTTTGCAGAAAATTTGTTGACCTCTGCCTCAAAATATGCACCAAAATTCTTACTCAGTCCTCCTAACTGATTTTAAAAGTCTGGTTTTTAAGGGATAATTCCCAATTAGTTCTTATATCACTGCAGGTTGAGCAATCACAGATTTCATCCTGTGCTGTTAGAGCCAACATAACTAAACCCTTTTGGGACTCTTCCACTTGGGTGGAGTGCAACATCACTTCCTGTCTGTACTCTTGTCCACAGGAGATGATCCAATGGCTTAATAAAAAAAAAGTTTTCAAAAGATTCCATAAACGTTTCAGTTTAATTTCAAAATATTGTTGAAGATTAATCATATAATCAGTCTTATTCCTGCATTTTGGGAATACATTCTCTGGATTGTATTTCTGATGGAACCTATTGTCTCCTAGATGTTATATAGCTCCAGAGGGATAGGAATGGTTGCTTTTTGTGTAGCTCTTAGAATTTAGTCAGTGCCTGCCATGTAGGCAGTTAACAAGGGTTGTTGAGTAAATCTGTAGGTACTTAACCTGCTTAATTATTTTGCAATTCCTCATACTTTTAAATATTTACACATTGTAATTATCTTTCTCATTTTGCGTAAGATACCAAAAATCTGGATACTTAAATGTTCTGTTCATAAATGTTCGTGATATATAAGTTTATGCTTATGTCCTTAGTTTTAAATTGAGCAGGTACATTCTATACTTCAGAATAGGTTTTTTTATTTACTTTATTGCTATTATAAAGGTGATGGACAGAGGGATTAAGATTACATGAGTCAGATAATGAATACATTTCCTTTCATACAATGTCTTCCCTTCACTCACTCCAAGTCCCTCCTTCCCTTCTCCAACCATGAGTTGTATGTCACTTTTTTTTTACTTTTTTTTTTATTGTGAAAATACTGTACAGAGGGGTTACAATTACATGGGCAAGATAATGAGTACATTTCTTATCAAGCATTGTAGCCTCCTCTTTGTTTCCCCTTCCCATCCCTTCCTATCCTCCCCTCAGCCCCCCTCAATCCTCCCCGTCCCCCCCCACCAAATTTGTAAAGTTTGTTTTCGACATAATGACTTGTATATCTCATTGTTGCAATGGTTCCACCTGTATCCCTATTTAAACAATTTGTTTTCCCCTTCCCCTCCACAAATTATATCGACATCAAATATAGTGAAAGCAGGGGTTATACTGTGGGGGAGGGACTGTATGTCACTTTTATCAGTGTCCAGTGAGTGCCACTGCTACACTTTTTCATCCTTTTTCCTTTGAATTCTATGCCTCCCTCTCACCCTCTTGAAAATATGTACATGTGATTATGCCATACATAATAAGACGGAATAATCAAAAAATTAAAATTAAAGAGAGATCTCTTGTTTCCATATCTTGGAGTTCATTTTGACACAAGATAGTTTTAATATACTTCAAAAAACCATGGAAGAACCACGGCTAGATCAATAGAATAGGAACCTGTCAGGCTTGTCTAAGCTATCACTGTGGGCTTTAGTACAAAATTCAAAACTGCAGATAATTTTGATTAATAGTCCATGCTTTGTAATTTCAAATATAGATAGCTGATATACTAGAAGTGAAGATTCTGGGAGAAACAGCATTTACAGGGGTAACATACTATTTTAAAATGGTTATAACTACATTAAAAAAAAGTGAAATATTTGTTAGTTCCCATATCTGACTCTGCTCTTAGACTTTCTCGGCTTTTTTTCCATCTCTCAGAATAACTCTTTTAAATGAAATGCTTATTGTAGAATAGGCACAAAGCAAGCAGTTTCTATTGGTGCTGAGATTATTTTCATGATGTGTGGTTGGAAGGGTATTTGCTGCAGATGACCTCTGGATGAAAGTTATGGTGTAAAGAAAAAGGCTGGTAATATATAAACAATGACTTAGCTCATGGTGTTAGTTATAGCAACTTGAATAAACTAGTTACTACATAAATGCATTTAACTTACCTATGTTTTTATTTCTTTATAATTTTTTACAACATCCAATTTTGCATATGTATACTTAAAAGCTAACTATAGAATATTTGAACCAAGCTGATATTAACTAAAAATCTTTGCTTACTGAATCTGACTCATTCATGTATAAAAATATAGTAAATGTAGATTTATAATGTTAAGAGTCTCCAAAGTACTAGATGGATCCTATTGGGTAGATGAATAAAAGACACCATGCCTGTATTTTTACTCTAGTCTCAATATAGTCTGTTAAGGTTACTGTCATAAAGAATCCTTCACCCCAGAGTGAGTGCTCCTTACATACATTATACATTTCTTATACACACTAACAAAAGTGAAAATGCCATGGTGACATTATGAATTGGGTCTTAAGTCTTTCCTCATAATAACCTCACTCTGTTGCTTGGGAAGGTAAGAAAATCAAGGCAGATATGACAGGATTAACTAGCAGAGATACTTCTCATATGTGCAAAATACCATTAGGATGTGTTTAGGTTTCCACTTTCTATTCACCTTCTAGTCCTAGTGGAAGACATATACTACTTCAGAACCCAGTGCTTTTAAGTCACATACAGTACTTTGTTATCGTAGCTGTTAGGTGAAGTTTGTCTCCTTGTAAAATCTCCTCTCAGCTCTGTTAAAGAAGATTATTTTAAGTTATATTTCTCTCCAAGGGTAGTGTTCAAAGTCTTAAGCTTCACAGGAGGTGAATTTCTGGTGGTGGAATTTCTGGAATTAGCTGGTCAATAGAAAAGCTATATATGTATATAAAAATGTTTGTGCCTTGTCAAACCTTGCTGAATATTCTCCAGAAGTCATTACTTCTCATTATGTTTACCACTTTATTTTTCAAATCCCTCCCTCCTCAAATAGTGCATCAAAACCTACAACTCTGATTGGCATCTTGTGACCTATAAATATGAAGATTACTCAGGAGAGTTTCGACAGCTTCCAAAGTGAGTAGTAGACCGTCAGACTACACAAGGTGGGGCTGGCCACTTGGGGAAAAGTCTGCATTACAGTGTTCACAGAAGTATGTAACCCTGGTGGCTTGTGTGTACGTGATGTAGCGCGCACGCGTGTGTGTGTGTGTAAAAGAAAATGTTAAAATGTTCTTTACCCTCCCTTCCACTTCAGTTCTGTGGCTTCAATTCAAGATTTCCTGCTTTCTAGTCACATGCTTTTACTAGAATCATTCCTCCAATTCTTTTGCTTTTAGTGTTTTTTCAGATTGTCTTAGGATTTAGGCTGCTCTTGGTCTGTGATCCTCCTACCTTTGCCTAACAAGTAACTGGGATTACAGGCATGAGACACCATGCCTAATTTGTTTTCTGAGATAACCTCCAGATGACTTTTTTTTTCCCCCCCAAACCAGCCTGTACCACAATCATCTCATCTCTGCTTTCCAAGTGGCTGGGGTTTGGGGCATGGGCCATTCCACCTGGTACTATTTCTTCTTAAAGAGTATTTTGAAGAAGAAACTTATAAAATGAATATTCTATATCAAATAAATTCTGTTTTATGAAAGTTAAGTGTGGCTGAGTGTTGGTGACACATGCCTGTCATCCTAATACTCCTTGCTAACATTCTTTTCTCCAGATGAGTAAGCTCTTTAATCTTATTGAGATGAGAGGATTGTAGTTCATAGCCAGCCTAGGCAGGAAAGTCTATGAGATTCTTATCTTCAATTAACCACCAAAAAACCAGAAGTAGAGCTATGGCTATGGCTAAAGTTGTAGAGCACTAGCCTTGAACACAGAAGCTCAGGGATAACACCCAGGCCTTGAGTTCAAGCCTTAGGACAGGCACATACACATAAAAAAAAGTTAATTATGTAACAACTATTTTCCCAGATAATTTTTTACCTCTTTTGAAGTATTAATTCAGTTTAGAGATACTAAAAGCGATTATGTTTAGATAGATTAGTGGTATAGTAAAACAACAGGAGTAAGTCTTGCTTTATGAGGCTGTTATAAAACAGTATATTCCCTAATGATATGGTTGGCAAGTTAAGTATAAGTTAACTGTGTAGCTCCAGAATGATATGATTGGCAAATTAAATTATAGTTATAATAATTGAAAGAAATGGTGATAGAATTGTGTGTGTGTGCATGCACACACATGTGCATATGCATGTGTGTGGTGCTGGGCATTAGACCCAGAATCTTACATTTGCTAGACAAGTATTGAAATACAAGCCCACAGGCCCAATTATATTTTTAAATGAACAAGTATCAGTGAAAATCTAACTTGTGACCCAGACAATATATTTTTCCTGTGTTTGTTACATCTGTGGGTTTGAACTTTTTATATTTGTTCTCAGTGAACCTAGCTGTTTATTTTTCATATTTGTGTGGCTCAACCACTCCTTAAGAGTGTTCAGCCAATTTCCTGATTGCCTTTTTTAGCCCTCAGGGAAGAACACTCCCTGCTAGCATTATTTTCTCCAGATGGGTAGACTCTTTAGTCTTATATTTACCCAATATTCACTTGGGGATTTTTGATTAGGACCCATTTGATTGGATTAATCTATCTTCATTGATTGTCTTATTCATACTGTCTTCATGATTGAAAGGTAACAGACTATGACATACTTAGTAAAAAAATTCCTAATGTCTAATGAAAACAGATTCACAACAGTACAAATGTGGGTAAGAATAGATTCTGTATTCTACCTGGCTTAACTTTGCCTCCTGGGAACTTAACTTTCTTGGCCTATTGAGTGGTCTTAACCATAGTCTACCATCTGCAGGGTTAAATGAGTTGATGCAGGTAAGTACACAGCATGAGCCTACAAAGCAAAAACCCTTTAAGAAAGGCTGCTGTTACCAAGCTATTACTATTGTTACCACCACCATTAACCAACTCTAACACAGTGACCTCATACTCCATTTTCTTATCATAGTTTTGTATTAAAAGTTATCCTGTCAAGTTGCTATTTGTTAATACTGAATCCACTTTCCTATTCTTTTTTCTTTAATTTTCTTTTTTTGCAGGGGGTTGGGGGAGGATGGTCCTGAGGCTTGAATTCAGGGTTGGTTGTTGTCCTGAGCATTTCTGCTGAAGGCTAGCTCTCTACCACCTGGAGCCACAGTTCCACTTCCAGCTTTTTTGGTAGTTAATTAGACCTAAGAATCACACAGACTGTCCTGCCTGGGCTGGCTTCATACTGTAATCTTCAGATCTCAACCTCTTGAGTAGATAGGAGGATTCTAGGCTTGAGCCACCAGTGCCCAGACGCTTTCCTATTCTTAATATACCTACTAATTCCCAGAAATCTTCTTTTCCACATAACATCCCAGAGCTTTCTTTTTTTTTATTGTGAAAATACTGTACAGAGGGATTAGAGCTTTCTGACTCAAGTTTCTTAGTATACCCCTTCAAAATCAGTGTCCCACATTATAATTCCTTATCAGAGTTAACTAAGATCTGTTTCCTCTGATGGAGGAATAAATGTAGACTCTATTGATTAGGTGATTATAAAACATGTTTCTTTTCTTGTTTTTAAAGCAAAGTGGCCAAGTTGGATAAGCTTCCAGTTCATGTCTATGAAGTTGATGAGGAGGCTGACAAAGATGAGGTAGGATGCATACTCTATTGTTTTTCTTCTCACTTTAAACATTGGTTTTAGGACTTTGAAGATTACTCAGAACATTATCAGCCTTTAACCAAAACAGGAATTGTAATGTTTCATGAAGCAGAGGAAGATTTTTTTTAAGTGTATTTTTGGCTTGATTGACATAAGGTTTCTGTTTCAACTTGACTGCTTAGCATCTCATGTTCTTTGCTTTGTGTTTATTTGTTCTGAGATCATTTTCAAAGACCTGGATACAATTTGACTGCAGTGTTAAAAAAAAAATACATTAAAATTACTTAGGCCTCCCAAGAAGATTGTATTGTCAGCCAATAGATTTAAAATGACTGATTCTTCAATGATTGCTTTTTGTGAAATTTGACTGTAACATGCTCATTTCCTTACTTGTGGAGAGAAAAGATTATGGTCAGACAAGTATATAAGGGGAATTAATAATACATTAAGATGAGTTTGTTCACTGAGTTGGTGAACCTAATAAACAGACACTGCTACCTATTATAGCAGTTTTCTTTCTGCTGAATAATGGTTGAATTACTGTTAGTTTACATTTTTTCCTTCTTATTTAGTTGTAAACTTTAATAATAACCAATGTTACAAACCATTTTAGAAATCACTTTAAAAATAATTCTGAGAAAAGTAAATTGGGTCATTCAAAATGAAAAGACAAGCCATGTGCCAGTGGCTCACGCCTGTAATCCTAGCTACTCAGGTGGCTGAGATCTGAGCATCACAGTTCAGAGCCAGCCCAGGCAGGAAAGTCCATCAGACTCATCTCCAATAAACCACTAGAAAACCTGAATGGTGCTCTGGCTCAAGTGGTAGAGGCACTTACCATGAGCTGAAGAGCGCAAGGACAACGCCCAAGCACATAGTTCAAGCCCCACGACCCACCAAAAAGAAAAGAAAAGAAAGAAAAGGCATTAAGAACTTGGTTTTATGACTTCATTAGTAGGGAAAGGAGGAATAGTCAAAATTACAAACATAAAAACACTCACCAGTCTATAAAGGCACTGACAAAGAAATTATTTTTGTTCCCGTAATAACAACAAACTCATAATTATTGATATTAAGGTAATACAAAACAAAACTTAGGATGGGCATTTTTGCAGTTATTTATTTAATTATATTAGGATGGGCATTTTCCATTTCCTTATTTATAAGGAAAAGATTTGCCAGGTTATGTGAATGTCTTTCTCTCTGTTTATGGTTCATGATTCATACAAATGTATGCTTAATTTTTTTTAGTAACACCCAGCAGCTCAGTGTCCACCTCATTAAACCTAGCTTTCACTGCATGTGTATAGTCTGAGCTTGAGGAGTCACTTTACTTTGTTCTCTAGCTATTACTTTTCATGTCCTCAATCCTTTTCTTTCTCTGTTTCTGTTAGCATTGTCACCTTACTTTCCTTCTATTTTTTCCATCATTTCTGTATTGCCTCTTAATTTCCTTTTTTTCCTCTTCTCATGTTTCTCTGAACCAAGTTTCTGGGAAGTTTTCCAAGAATTTACTTTTGTCATCCTACTAAAGGGAGTATAATTTGAAAACAATATTTCATTAAACCCGGCGAGACCTTATGACTGAGTGGTCAAGTGTGGTATATACTTTCTGTGGCCCATTGAACACTTAAAAATATAATTTTGGACTGGAGCTAACTTTGCCTTTAATGGAGTAGGGTTTTTTTCTTTTTTTTTTTTTGAGTAGGGTTTTCATAAATGTAGGTGTATCTTTAATGCTAAGTGGGCTTTACTATGATTTGTAGGTATTAGTCAACAATTGCCCTCAATAAAGTGATAATTGGCCAGGTTGACACAAATGGAACGCTTTTCTTATTAACCAAACTCACAGCAGATAACATAGGTCATAGTGGGAGATTGATTATGGGCTATTTTCCTTCTCTTGTAGGATGCTGCCTCCCTTGGTTCTCAGAAGGGTGGAATCACCAAGCATGGGTGGCTGTATAAAGGGAACATGAACAGTGCAATCAGTGTGACCATGAGGGTAAGGAGGCTTGTCACACAGCTTTACTCCTACATGAAGCCTTTTCTCTCTCTGTCTTGAGAATGGTGCTCAGGATGACCAGGAATGCTTTTCTTCCCCACAAAGGGAGCAGTGTTCACTCAGGTTCCTTGATGATAACCCTCCTGTTAGTACAGAACTACGAAGAGAAGCAGCTAAGTAAATCAGGAAGCTGTTTGGAAGAGAACATCAAGATGGATAATAAAGAGAAAAGAACAGTGAAAGGGAACTAAGGTGAACAGAGAAATAAAAATTAAATTAGAGGACATGCTGATGGTCATAATCAGAATGCTGGAAAAACATTCAGCATCATGAGGCAGAGAATATTCCTATTCTATGTGAGCAAGAAACCCTGAGGATTTGAGAAAATGTTTGCATCCTTCTGTGCTGTGGCCTAAATTGGAACACCTCATGCTGCTTTTGAGAGGTTTTGTATAATTTCAAATACTGTGGGTGACAAAAATGACCCACCTCCTCAGAATGGAAATGTATGCAGTTAGTCACTAGATGTGGAAGGAAGCTTCAGCAAACTCAGTTACTTGGAGCATTGACTAGGACCAGATTTGTTTTAGAATAAAAATGGACTTTGTTTTGTGTATAGTTGCAGGTTACTTGTAGAGATTGTGACTTTTTGTTTGTACATTTTTCTTAAGTCATTTAAGAGGCGGTTTTTCCACCTGATTCAACTTGGTGATGGATCCTATAATTTGAATTTTTACAAAGATGAAAAGATCTCCAAGGAACCAAAAGGATCAATATTTCTGGACTCCTGCATGGGTGTGGTCCAGGTAAGTAGGAAAAGAGTTATCATCAAGTTTTCTTGCCTGCAGTGTCTTGTTTTCCTATAACATATAAATGGGTTTATTTATTATATTAATAGATTAAGTGACAATGTTCATAGAAATATCTATACAGTAAATTAAGTTTTATTTGTCATCATTTTACAAGATGGCAGCTACATTGTAGTGAGCATGAGCATTCTGGTATTTCATTCTGTGTTTAAAACGTACCATAGAGCTGGGCATGGTGGTATGTTTCTACAATCTCAGCACTTGGGAGGCTGAGGCAGGAGGACCATGAGTTTGAGGATAGCTTAGTCTACATAGTGAGACTCTGTTTTAAAAAAATAAAATTTATCTGGATACTGGTGGCTCACACTATAATCCTAGCTTCTCAGGAGGCTGAGATCTGAGGATTAAAGTTCAAAGTCATTTCAGGCAGAAAAGTCTGTGAAACTATCTGCAATGAATCAGAAAAAAAATGTATTGAACTATAGGTGTGACTCAGTAGTAGAGCACCAGCTGTGACTGAAAAAAACTTAAGCAAGAGTGCTAAGCCCTGAGTTCAGTATTGGGGTTTGAATTCAGGCCCTTGCACTTACTAAACAGGTATTCTACCACTTAAACCACACCTCCAGCACCTTTTGCTATCATTTTTCCAATAGAATCTTAACATTTGTACCCAGGCAGGTCTAGAATCCTTGAATTTATGCTTCTTTAATAGCTAGAATGTGTGTACCACCACATCTAACTTTTTATTGGTTGAAATAGGGTTTTATGATCTTTTTGCCTGAGTTGTCCTCTAACCACAATCCTCCTGATCTCATCCTCTTTAGTAACTAGGATTATAGACAAAAGCCTCTAGTTTTTAACAAAAAATAAATTCAAAAAAATTTAAAAAATACAAAGCTACTAAACCAAAAAAACCTGCCTCAGCCACTTCATTATAACGATGTGACCTTGGACAGTCTACTTAAAGTTTGTCCATCTGCAAGATTGGGCCATGCCAGTGTTTACCCACCTTTGTTAAACAAGCGAGATGATGGTACCAAATATGGTTACTGAGAATATGGATTAATTAATATTGTAATGAGCTTAGAACAGTATAGGCAAGTGGAAAACATTTAGTCATTTGTTATTTTTCTTAGTGCTATTGCATCTATAGCATATATTTAAAAATTATCTTCAATTTTACATAGTACAAAGATGTGTTATTATTGTAAAAAACTGGACCATGAAGATAAAAACTGGACAATAAGAGTTCCTCTAGATCCACTGTCCACTTCTCCCATCTCTCTCTTTCCTAGAGATCTGTTACTAGTTTGGTATGCATCTTTCCATGCAGTTTTTGAGTTGTCCTCTAAAGCCATTTGCCAGCTTCCTGTCTGTCCATCCATCTATCCATTCTCTCATCCCCATTTAGTTTTCGGGGAAGATTTAATGAAGTAGCTTACAAGAAGATGTAAAACACAAGATAGCATAAATGTAAAGAGGGAGCAAAAACTGAAGATGAGTAAGGAGATGGGATAAGGCTGAAATAAAGTAGAATAGGAAAACAAACATTGCTTGAAATGTCTAAAGCCAGCTTTGAGTAAGGCCACTTACTGGACTGTCCACTTACAAACAAGATGTGTTCTTTTTCATAATACACAGTACATACAAATTTACACAGTCCAATTAGTCAGAAGCTGCCCAAGTAACCATAGAATGAAGACCATTCAGGCATTTCTTTTAGAAGTCCTCAGACAGAGGGCTATGTGACTAATGAACAGTCTCCCTGACAATGTGTCCCAATGGATGTGGTCACCAGTATCAAAGCACCCACCCTTAAAACTCTTCCATAGTGGTGGGTGATGGCATCGCCTGAATCTTCATTCTTCAAGGAGATTGTTTAGTGAGGCTACCATGAATGAAGTCAAGGACAACGTGCTATGGTCTTATCACAGGTGTGCTTGTTTTTCTACCTATTCAATTAAAATTAGATTGCATTTCTATCAAAAGAATGTCCTCATCCCTTGGTGTCACCCCTACCTCACTCACCTCCTGCCTAATCCCTGTCTCACTAAATTCAACTTAAATCCGAAGTTTAGGTTTTCATGTCTTAATTTTGATTTTAACTTTTTAAAAGATAGAACATAGGGGCTGGGAAGGTGGCTCAGTGGTAGAGTGCTTGCCTTGCATGCCTGAGGCCCTGGGTTTGATTCCTTAGCACCACATACATGGCACTGTGGATCAAGCGGTGAGCACTAGCCTTGAGCTGAAGAGCTGAAGGACAACATCCAGGCCCAGAGTTCAGGCCCCATGACCGACAAAAAGAAAAAAAAAAGTCTCATGAAGATAGAACATACATATACAAAACATACATGTAACAGATATATGCCTTGGTGATTTAAAAAAATTAAGAGTGGTTTTCTTTTGTCTTTATTTCATTTTGAATATTTTGGCCTGCACATTCTGGCCCCCTTGGTCTTCCTCAGTTCCAGTTAATGTATCAGCCTCATCAAAGCAGGAAAGATCCTGTTGGAATTTCCGTACCTGTGCCCTAGTACAGCTGGCAAAAAGCTGAAATGATGTGGACTTACCTCATTTATTTCTCTTCTACCAGGGATCACAGGCCAGCACCATTTGTTTGCCTGTTTCCTGTGAATAGTTTTTGTGGAGTTTTGTTTTTTTTTGAAAAAAAAATCCGTTTTGTTCAATAATTATGGCTGGAAAATAAGTCCAGATCCTGTAACTTCATCCTGGCCAGAGTGGAAGTTAGGATCAAAATCACAGCCCAGCAGCTAAATTAAGTGATAGAGAAGGCATGGTTGTAAAACAATAGGGAATACTGGAGGCTTTGACAAGCTGTAACCAAGTTGTCCTGTTCAGAAAAGTCATCTGTTTCACAGTTGTAGCTGAAACTTCAGATGATGTGACCAGCTCAGTTTGCTTAGTGTTGCAAAATCATCTGGCTCTTCAAAACAACAAGAATACAGAATTTTAGTTAAATCTTAGAATATTTTATTGGTAGCTAATGAAACCACTGTGTAGAACCTCTTCCCACAAATGGTCCAATATTTGAAAGTATATCTGAGCTCCAGATCAAGTGCAGTACCATTTCATGGTCACTGGAAATATTTTCATTTGACAGATAACCAGCATGTGGATGCTTCCTGGCTCACAGGCCAACTTCAGTTGAAAACTACCAGTGCGAATAACTGGTTATATCCAATTGTGTTCATTGTCAGTGCAAAGTCAGAGTATGAGAGGGAATTTTTACTGCCTTTGAATTAACTTCTTGTGTGGGTTTCCCTAGTAGGAGTTGCCTTTGTACTTTTGAGAGACCTTAAAGTTAACTTGTAAGCTGAATTTTCTGGCACTGAAAATTAAATATATTTGGCAACTTCATTTTTAAGAAACAAGTTCTTATTTTTGTCTTAGGAGAACATTTGTTAAATGTCTTTGACACTGTGCAGATGTTTCTAAGTGCAGCTATCCTGAGAGCTATCATCTAGTCTCTGGGGTACATTTCAAAATCTAACATTTCTGACTTCAATGAAAGTTTCTTCCTTGAATTTTTTTTTGTAGATATGGCTGATGGTATTTTTTAGTTAATGATTTGTCTGCAAAACCTCAGAAGAGTACAATAATTTTTTATCCACTTCTGTTTTGTAAACTGAGAATCAAACATGGTTTAAGAAACCTTTCACTCCCATTTCCTGTGTGGGGAACAGGAAATGATTCTGTCTATCTCTTCCTTCTTTAGTTGCACTAAAATAAATCCTTGCTAAAATGTTAAAAAATAAAAAAATAAAAAATAAAAAAAGTTGTGCTGGGCACCGGTGGCTCACGCCTGTAATCCTAGCTACTTAGGAGGCTGAGAGCTGAGGATCATGGTTCAAAGCCAGCCCAGGCAGGAAAGTCGTGAGACTCTTACCTCCAATAAACCACTAGAAAACCGGTAGTGGCACTGTGGCTCAAGCGGTAGAGCACTTGCCTTGAGCTGAAGAGCTTAGGGACAGCGCCCAGGCCCAGAGTACAAGCCCCACTACAACAGCAACAAAATTGTGATTTAAGTGTTTTTAATTATAATTTTTGGATGTGATTACAAAAAAATTAGTTGATTAGTGCTGTGAATTGAAAAAAATACCTAAACTAAAAATTTTAGACAGAGCTAAAAAGAATTACAGCTTAGAATCTTAACTCTAAAACAATTTAAAATCCTGGAAGTTAATTATACTTGTATTGCAGATGAAGAAATGAGGGCTCTGAAAGAAGTCCAAAGTTTTTTCCCAACTTGAACTTTTTTTGGGGGGGGGTTATATGTGAAGAGTGAGTGGCTGGGAGAAAGAACTCATTTCATTTTTGCTTTTGACTCCTTCTTAATTCTTTTCTTTATATATTTAAGTGAGATCTGAGGTAGCAATTACTGAGCCCACAGCAGACAGTCTATGCACAGTAGATGCTGTTGCTTTGCCAAGAACAGCACTTAACTTCATGTTTCTAAGAACTGTGCTGAAAAAAGAAATGCAGAGAGACCTTTGGAATAGGCTTTGTAATACCTGAGATCTGTGTGGGGAAGCTTACTCAGGGACTGAATAACAGCTGGAATTTTAGTGGGACGGAGGGACTCTTTCTGCCCCCCTGAGGTTGATAGGAGCTTGTAATTTCTGATCTCTCAGCAAGTTCAGGTAAGAAAGTAAAATATATTGATATATAATAGATAACTTATAAGAAGGTTATACAACATACAGCTTCATTTTTCTTAAAAAAGAAAAGAAAGTGAACTAATGGAATATGAAGTTTATGCAAGAAATTCTATTAATACAAAAACCACAGATTGTTCTAAAGTATGTAGCAATGAAAAGAAAAAATGGGAAATTTCTGTCCTTATGAAGCCTTCCAACACATTGGTAGGAAGAAACAACAACTAAAATAAATAGGCATGAGAGGTAATAGGTCAGATGAGAAACTAAAGCTATGAAGAAAATAAGGCAAGGAAGATGGACTGTGATGGGGCTCATGGGGGCGGGAGTGCAGTATCAGCAAATAAAGCAAACTAATGTATAGCAGTTCCAAATATTGTCTCTTCACCCTTTTCCCATTTCAGAACAATAAAGTCAGGCGTTTTGCTTTTGAGCTCAAAATGCAGGACAAAAGTAGTTATCTTTTGGCAGCAGACAGTGAAGTGGAAATGGAGGAATGGATCACAATTCTAAACAAGATTCTCCAGCTCAACTTTGAAGCTGCAATGCAAGAAAAGCGGAATGGAGACTCTCATGAAGGTAGGTAGGTCTAGCTTTCTCCAGGCAAGGGTACTTTATTTTTGTCAGCCTTCCCCCCTCTCTTGTGTACATAGTAAGGAGAAATACTATACAGGTCAATGAAAGGCAGGGCAGATAGCCCATCAGTAAAGATTTTAACGCATTAGAGTTTACTACTTAACCTGTTGATAAGGAAGTCATGTAATGAAAAGAACCACAGCTGTGGAAACAGGAAGATCTGGATTTGGGTCCCAACAATACCACTTGTCAACTGAGCGACCTTAGATAAACTTTTAATGTTTTCTGAGCCTCTTTGTTCACCTGCAAAATAGGAATAAAAATGATTATTGCTGGGCACTGGTGACTCATGTCTGTATTCCTAGCTACTCAGAAGGCTGAGATCTGGGGATTGTGGATTGAAGCCAGCCTCAGCAGAAAAGTCCATGAGACTTTTAGCTCCAATTAACCACCAAAAAGCTGGAAGTATAGCTGTGACTCAGCTTTGAGCATAAAAGCTCAGGAACAGAGTGCAAGCCCTGAGTTCAAGCTCTAGGACAGCCCTCAAAAAGATACTGATTGAGTGAGATAAGAAAAGTAAAAAATGTAGCTCAAGTCCCTGGTATAGATTCTACACATAATTATTAGTCATTATTGTTATTATTAATAATATCCTTTGGAGTTTTCAAGACAAAGTTAAGATGAGCAGGAGCCTCATATTAAATTGATAGAGTCTGGCTGTGTTCTTAAGAACTCATGTTGTATTTCAAGCCCTTTGGGGCTTGTGAGGCTCTGTAAAGCCATATAAGGCTCTTGAAATCATTGGGAACATGACCAGACAGTCAGCTGCCTGAAGCCTGGTAAATTTATGTTGTCTGTGAATTCTCTTCTAAATTTAAAAAAAAAAAGGACCCTTTTCAGAAAAAAGTTTCCCTACCACTGTCTTAGCTGATTTTCAAGCCTGTCTGTCCCTAGTAAAGCTAGGATATTGGTTGTTTTGGGGTTGTTTTTTTTTTGGGGGGGGCGGTCCAGTCGAGGGTCCTGAACTTTGGCCCTGGGTGCTGTCCCTCATCTCTTGAGCTCAAGGCTAGACCTCTACCACTTGAGCCACAGCGCCACTTCCGGCCTTTTCTTTTTGCTTATGTGGTGCTGAGGAATCAAACCTAGGGCCTCATGCATGCAAGGCAAGCGCTCTACCACTGAGCCACCTTCCCAGCCCTACCATATTGTTTTGTTGGTTGTTGTTGTTTAAAAGAAAAAATATTATTTCTTTGATTCTGCTGAAGATACTGATTGGGTATGACCATGGTGGCTGGTGTTCATTAGTTCTAATTAGCCTAATAGCATACTATACCAACTAGTCAATGTTTTTGACTCTTATTACTGGGTCTGGGCATCAGTATATTTTCAAAGCCCCCAGATGTTTCTAAGATGTATACAGAGCTGAAAACACTGGCTCACAGGGCACCTAAAAGAAACAATGTTCTTCCTCATGCATTAAATAAAATACAATTATACTTAACTCGAACTCTGTTTTGTCATTTTAGATGATGAACAAGGCAGATTGGAAGGTTCTGGTTCCGGTTTAGATAGCTATCTGCCTGAACTTGCCAAGGTAACATCTACTCTTCATTGAATTTTATTGAAATGTTTCTTGTGGCATGAGTTTGTTCAGAATGGAATCTCTAAATCAATTATATTGTGATTACTAGTATCTATTTTCTGACCTGAATATGAGGTGAAACAAAATATATTACTGACTGAGACTTCAGTCTGTTTTCCAGAAGGCATCCTACAAAGTTATTTTGTATTATTTTTAAAGTGTCTTTCTGCTCATAATATTTAATACTACATCTCAATACTTGATACTTAGTATTAAATAACTAAAATACATAGGCACTATGTTTCCAAGGATAACTCACACTTATTCAAATCGATAGCCACAATTTCAAATAGACATGGTGATCTTGCCATTAGACTGAAGAATGGTCACCTAAGTTATAGAACTTGTTCCCAGGTTGCTCTAAATAACAACAAAAACAAAGCTAAACCTATCTTTTGTGATTTGTCTTTTTTTTTTTAACCAGTCCTGGGGCTTGAACTCGGGGCCTGGCTCTATCCATGAGCTTTTTGCTCTAGGCTAGTGCTCTACCACTTAAGCCATAGTGCCACTTCTGGCTTTTTCTGGGTAGTTTATTGGAGATAAGAGTCTTACAGACTTTCCTACCTTGGGTGGCTTTGAACCACAATCCTCAGATCTCAGCCTCCTGAGTAGATAGGACTACAGGCATGAGCTATCAGCACCTGGCTGTGTTTTGCGATTTTTGAGAATCTCAAAAGTTACTGAAAAAGCACCAAGAAGAACCAGAGAACCACATTGTTACTGAAACACTCACAGCTATTACTATATTGTGTTTTTAGCATCTGTGTTTTTACAAGAAATACCAGGTACAGTTGATTCTTTTTAAAGAACTTCCATATTCCCATTCACCGTCCTATCCCCATAACCCCAACCAGGGACAATCACTATAAGTTTGACTTCCATTGTATTTTTATGTCTTTACAAATATACTTATAATGATATATGTGAAATTGTGTGCTTAAAAAGTTACATAAATGTTAATGTACTATTCATCTTATTCTACAAGTGTTTTTAAAAATGTTTAATTCAGTCTCATTTTTGAGATCCATCCTAACTAGTTTATCCATCTTTTATTTTAGCTGTTCTATTACTTTCTATGAACAATACTACAATGAGTATCTTTATACTTGTCTCCTGTGTGCATTGATGAATGATGCTTTTTTTAAATGAGAGAATTGTCTTTGTCTTCTCTAGCCTATTCTGTTCTGCTCCATCACTGCCTTTCTGTTTGCTTTAAAAAAAACATAACAATGAAATGGTGACCCTGACATCCACATCTTAAACACTATAATAGAAACATAGTTTATATAGGATTATAAATAGAGTAACATTCAGCATTGACCTTTATTTCAAGACAACATGGTTGTTGTCAGATATAAATCTTCCCTGGTTTGGACTTTACAGTATTGTTTTTCTTCAGAATTTGACTGCTTCCACAGAATCTTTTTAGTACCTGCCTATTAAAGCTAACTTTAGAGCCACCATTATAACCTCCTCCTAGTTTGGGAAAAGTTTTGGCTTATGTGTTTGTATTTTTATGTTAGGATTTTTATTTTTATTTTTTGTGGTGTTGGGGATCTAACTCAGCCTTGCCTATGCTAGGCAGGCATTCTACCCCTCAGCTGCCTCCCTCTCCTGTCTGTTAGGATCTTTGGTGTATTATATTTTCCATGGACCTTTGCTATTTTGTTTCTGACTGTTTGGGGGTTCAGAATTTCTCAAAGCAAAATGTCTGAACACAATGTAGATTTAGTTTGTTGAAGCAGATAACGTGATACCATTCAGAATTTGGAAGGTAACTGTCTTCACTTACTAGATGAATAAAATAGATACCTAAGAGAAATTGCATGTTATTCAGGCATACTGTAATTAGAAATCTGTATTTTTTCCTTATTAAGACATTGTGGGAGTTGTCTTTTCTTTCTGACTGACAACCTAATTCAGTATTGCTTGATCCTAAGACTTAGCGGGAGTTACACGTTTATATATGCTTTTATTTATATTTTTTAATTTAACATTCAGACCTATTTATGAATATGTTTACATCCAAATTACCTAGAGACATTTTATGTATGAAATCAATTTAATTGATCTAAACCCTCTATTTCTTTTTTATTCTTGTTTTCATTTCTATCCACTGGGGTTTAATTTACACAAGCATTAATTGTAGAGTTTGGTATAGTTCACATTTGTACACTAGTGTAACCATCCCCCAAATCACGTAGAGAGCGCTCATATCATCCCATCAAACTCTCTTATATACTCCCTCAGCTCAGACTCATATGTGATTTTTACCTCCATCACGGTAGACTAGTTTTAACTGTTCTGTACCTTCATGTGCATGGAAGCCTACTGTTTGTACTCTGTGTCACTCTCTTTAGTTCTTACTATATGACCCACTTTAAAAAAATTTGACTGGAATTGAATAGTGTTGTTGATAATGTTGTTATTATTATAAGACAGTGAAATAGTAACCCAAAGTACTGTTTTTATCTTACTAATGATACGTATTATATTGTTTCATGTATCTGTGTATGTATTTGTGTGTACGTTGCATTATGATATGAAACATTTTTTATACCAAGTTATTGTCAAAGCTTGACAAATGACTCAGAATAAGGGTCTTCATTGTGCTCTAATCTCCTTTTTCCCCAGCTCTCAGATATTCTATAAATACTTTTATTTAAAAAGGTAGGAAAAGGCAATTAGCAATTTTTCAAAGGGACAGAGAATGAAGAAAATTAAGAGATATTGCCATTCACCAACCATGCTGCCTTCAGAATTTTTGCAAATGGGCGTTTGTCCATTTTGTATCATTGTGTGTGTGTGGCGAGAGAGAGAGAGAGAGAGAGAGAGTGTGTCCTAGGTGCTGTCCCTGAGCTTTTTTCCTCAAGGCTAGTGTTGTCACTTGAACCGCAAGACTCCTGGCTTTTTGGTGGTTAATTAGAATCACACAGACTTTCCTACCTGTGCTGGCTTTGAACCATGATTTTGAGATCTCAGCCTCTTTAGTAGTAGGATTACAGGCAAGAGTCACATGGTGCCCTACCATCTGTTCCTTTTAATGGCTTGATTAGTGGTGTGCAGTGTGAGGAGACTGTGTCTATTCATTATCCCCCTCTAATATGTTTGCTGACTGGTCATCTTGTTTCTAGGAGGAATGTATTCCATGGATAGAGAATCAAAGGTTGAAGTGTGTATGAAATTGGAGAGAATGGACTGGGAGGGAAAAAAGGGGGAGGTACACAGCTCTGTACTGAGACTTTACCCAGGGGATGAAGAGGTAAAGAGATAACTACCAGGGAAGGAAAGTGCAAGAAAGGGCCAGGTGAAAGAATGGGCCACAATTACAATTGCAAAGCAATTCCTGGAACAACTGGGGCAGGCCAGAGATGGCTGAAAGTGAAATTGAATGGCAGGCTCATTTCTTGCAGCAGCCCTAATTCATCCTGTTGCCCTGGCTTTTGGTTTCCACTGTGACTGAGACATAGCCAAACAGGATTTGACCAACAGGAAATTGTTTTAATGCAAAAATAACTGATGTATCAACCTGGAATAACATGTAGGGGCCCTCTGCCCTTGGCTGAGTGAAATAGACTTAGGTTTTAAAGATATTTTGTATATTTTTTCTTGGAGCTTGTGCTTGTACATCTAGTACTGAACATCTTTGTTGATTTCCTATCAGAGGACATGCTGTTCTTTTTATCTTGTTGTCTAGAATGGAACCAAACATTTTTCTGTGCATGTGAATATAACAATACATATAGCTTTGGTTTTTATAAATGTTTATATTCTCTACACATAGTCTACAGGCTGATTAATTGGTTTCATCTTGGAAGTCAGAAGTGATATGACCAGGTTGTAAATGCTACTGCTAGTCATGTAATAATTTCTTCTTCTGGTTACATTTATATTTGTCACATTAGAATGTATAAATTTTCTCCTTGAATAAAGATAGTATGAAGAAAGTCTCTGTACTTACTCCATTTTTGAGCTCTCTTTTTTTTAAACTCTTAGAACAGCAGTTCTTTTTTTTTTTTTTTTTCGGTCGTGGGGCTTGAACTCTGGGCTTGGGTGCTGTCCCTCAGCTCTTCAGCTCAAGGCGAGTACTCTACCACTTGAGCTACAGCGCCACTTCCGGTTTTCTGGTGGTTTATTGGAGATAGGAGTCTCACGGTCTCTCCTGTCCGGGCTGGCTTTGAACCTCGATCCTCAGATCTCACCCTCCTGAGTAGCTAGGATTACAGGCGTGAGCCACCAGCGCCCGGCAGTTCATTCTTAATTTAGTCTCTTTGTGTGGTTCTGCAATAAACAGTTTCATGTTAATCCAAATTGCTCACCTCCTCTTTCCATAGAAATTTTTTAATGAACTTATCCTACCAGAATACAGAACAAAGTGTTGTGTTTCAAACTTGAGTTTCATTGAGGTTACATGAAAGTCAGAGGGTCAAGCTCAATAAAACTTTTCAGAAGCCAGATGTTTCATAGACACCTTCGCTGATATCAAAATTTGAGTCTGTAATGAGTACTTCCTAAGTCTCAATTCAGAAAACAATGTTACTGCATTGTGATACAAAGGGATGGATGGTGTTTGAAGAGCTATTTAACATCCCATTTCTAGACTTTATTTATTCTACAGTTCTCTGTCCTAGTTTTGTGGCATGAGATGTGGTAGTGATCGTCTTGGTGGATTTATATCTTAGAAGCAGAAGAAATACATCAGCTGAATTTAAAGTATATATTCTGGTCTTATAATATTTTCCGAAGTCTTCCTGTTCCATTCTATTTTTATATGACCCAGTAGTCAACATGGTATTATTCTGATAATGTACCCTCAAAAGGCAGTTATCCAAGCCAGGCGCCAGTGGCTCATGCCTGTAATCCTAGCTACTCAGGAGGCTGAGATCTGAGGATCATGGTTCAAAGCCAGCCTGGGCAGAAAAGTCTATAAGACTCTTATCTCCAGTAAACCACTAGGAAACCAGAAGTGGCGCTGTGGCTCAAGCGGGAGAGCACTCGCCTTGAGCTGAAGAGCACAGGGATAGCGCCCAAGCCTAGAGTTCAAGTCCCAGGACTGACCCCTCCCCCCCCCCCCCAAAAAAGGCAGTTACCATATGATCTTTGACTTTATCTGCTTACAAACTTAAGATGGAATAGGGTAACTCTTGAATGTTTGGGCCATAACCATTTCTTAAAACAAAGAAAACATGATTAAGGTGTGTCATTACTGAACTTAGAGTTTACAGAATGGGACAGGGGAATAGTCTTTGTTTCAGCATTCTCTTAGACTTCTAAGCAAGTATCCACGTCTACAAAGAATGGCTCTGCCATGGTCCATTCTCTGAGCTATTTTCCCACATTCTCCTCCACAGAACTCAAAATAGAAAGTGGGCCATGGAAGGATGGTAGCAACACATTTTCATATAGTTCTTTTTACAGCTACAATATGTATTGACCAGGGCTGGTTTCTATCATTTTAAAAAGTGTTCACCTCCATAGTCATTGTAATAATAATTTTATAGCTCTGTTTTATGGGCTCTTAAGTTATAAGGATGTATGTTACAGATTTTTTTGTTTTTACTAAAATTTGTATTGAAAAGTAAAATTCCTTTCAAAAGTAATTTTAATTACTTAAAATTTAATTACTTTTTAAAAATTACTTTTATTATAGTAAGCATATAATAAGCAAGACTGTCAATGCTTTGTAAAGAAAAGCTTATCTTTTCTTTTTCTCCTTATTCTCACATTCTTGAGAACAGCAATGCTAACTGTGGTTCATCTTTTGCCAAATAGTATTTGAGCAATATATACACATGTAGAGTTTTTTGGTTATTTTTGGAAAATTTTTTCATCTTATATGAATTATTTTCCAATTTGTTCTGTCAGTGAAGAATAGTTCATAGGACATGTATGCTATATCTTTCTAGGTCAGTAGAAGCTCTAGTTAACTCACTTTCATAAAAGTTTGTAATCATACAAGTCAGCATAGTATCTGTGGGTATTACACAGTTTATTCAGCCGTCTTTCTATTAATGAACAGTTGGCTTGTTTTTTATTTTTAACATCTTCAGATTACACAGGAAACATCATGGTGTGCTAAATACTTGGATTCTTATTTCATGAGAACTTCCCCAAAGTAGGATTTTACAAACAACTTTTTTTTTTTTTTTGTCAGTCATGGGTCTTGAACTCTGGGCTGAGCACTGGCCCTCAGCTCTTCAGCTCAAGGCTAGCACTCTACCACTTGAGCCACAACGCCACTTCTGGTTTTCTGGTGGCTTATTGGAGATGAGTTTCACGGCTTTTAGTGCCTGAGCTGGCTTTGAACCACCATCCTTAGATCTCAGCCTTCTGAGTAGCTAGGATTACAGGCGTGAGCCACTAGTACCTGGCAACATTTTGTTTTTAATGCTGTAAATATTGCCATGTTACTTTGCCAAAAGGTTATAGCATTTTAGTTTACTATTTCTCTGAATTGTCACCAAGGTGAGAAATGATCATTTACTCTGCTTCAATTTATATTTTCTGCTTACTAATAACATTTTTTAGTATTTCTTTGGCATTTGAACTTCTTTCTCTTTAACCTGCTTTTTCGTTTTCTTCTTTCTAGTTTTTGCTTTTTTCTTGTTCGGGGTCTGGGTTCTGGCGTTAAGATAGTTTGAGTTAGAAGCCAGATTTTAACTAAATATTGTGAGACTCAGAGAATTTAAAACAGAGTAGTGAAAACAAGCAAACCCCATGCCTTCATGTCTTTTTTTTCCCACCACTGAGTAGGGATAATAGTAGTACCTGCTTTTAAAGTTTATATGAAATTTTGTTTTATTTATTTTGAGGTTCTAAGGATTAAAACCAGAACCTCACTCATACTGGGCAGATCCTTTGCCAGTGAGCTGCACCCCAGTCCTAGGTTGTATTCATTTAAAATGGACACTAATGCACCTTCTCCACTATGCTACCAGTGTCCCATTGTCAGGGACTGAGGGAAAGTAGCAGATGAGAGGGAACATCTGACCATCTGACCCCATAAACTGAATTGTGGAGAGATTGAAAATAACAGAGTTCTGGCTCCCAACAATAGGATATGGGTTTTAAGGGAGCAGCCATTATAGAAATAAGGTTAGAGATGGCCTGTGTCTTGTGAATATTTTAGAAATGTCTTTTTCCTAAACCCCACATTTCTCCACCACCATCTCTGTCATTATATGTCTGCGCCTGTCAGTGTTGGGGCCCCTGGTATTGTGTCCTAAGACTTAATTTCTACATTCTCCCCAGGGAATCTCATCTACCCCAGGACTTCCATTCCCACCTGCATGATGATGTTCTGTGTGTGTGTAACTCCAGCCTTCCTCTCTTTCTGTACTCAAGTCTTATGCCTCTAGCCATCTACTAGATGTTTCTAGTTGAAAATCCCAATGTGTTTTTACCTTTTCCACAAACTTGCCTTTTTTCCTAAACTACCTATCAGTTAGTGGCGTCACCATTCAGCAGTTATCCAAGATAGATATGTGAGGTTTGTCATGAGCCTTATTGTGAGAATAGGAAGCTGTGGTAACAACCCAAGATTCTTGGTGTTACTCTAATTACTTGAGCTACTCTAATTTCATTACTTCAACACTACAAAAGCGACACTCCTAAAACACAGAAATCATTATTTTCTTAATTAGGATTCTGAATGAGATCCCTCCCAGTACTCCTCCACAAGTCCCATACTCATTTCTTTTTACTTTTTCTCACATGCCCGGTCATTTAGTTGAATGATATGATCATTGCTTGTGCGTGACTTGTCCCTTTAAGCACATACAGTACTTCCTAGAATTTGCTTCTTTTCCTGCTCAAGGGAACTTATCCTTCAAGATGACCTTTCTCTGGAAAATAGTCTAGATGAACTTCCATTGCCTTATGCTTTCTTTTTTTTAATTTAACTTTATTGTATTGTTCTTTCTTTTGTCATTCTTGTTACCTATTTGTCTCCCCAACTAGTGTTCTCTATTCATTTATGTTTGTTTCCAGTTCCCAGCCCATAGTAAGTGCTCAATGATTATTTATTGAATGATCTGTCACTGTTCTTTCTTCCCAATTGTCAGAGTGTATGCCCTTCTCTTCCCCATCTCATACCCTCAGATTAGCACTAGACCCTATTCAAACCATGTGGACCTATTTCTATTCTAAGTATGTGTCTACCTGTGTATCCTTTCTAGTCAGCATGTAATGTTCATTTTCATCCTTCTGGCTAAAATTTGCTCAACTCCTATCCAATAATTTATTACTGAAGACTTCTTTTTATTTTTTTTAACAGTTCTGTGCTTATTTATTCTTTGCTTTCTTTGGATTGTTTGACTCTATAATTGTTTGTTAGATCTGTAAGGGCCCAGCAAGGATCACATATGATCCCACCTTGCCCCCTCCCCCGCAGCCTGTATATTGTGTGCTACATACATAGTATATACCTGGTTATTTACATACAGCTGCCTCACAGATAAGGCAAGGTTGTCAAATAGGATGGGGCAACTTTCAAAATATGCTTGGTTATGTCTAAAACACACAAGGATTTTGTTGCCAAACACTGATGGCTCACGCCTGTAATCCTAGCTACTCTGGAGGGTGAGGTTTCAAGATCTCAGTTCAAAACCAGCCTGGCAAGAAAGTCTGTGACACTCTTATCTCCAGTTAACCACTTCAAAAACTGGAAGTGAAGCTGTGGCTCAAAGTGGTAAAGCCCTAACATTGAGCAAAAGAGCTGAGGGACAGCACTCAGGCCCTGAGTTGAAGCCCCACGAACAACAAAAAAATAAAAAGGATTTTGTCGAGCTTGATTTTTATTTATCTTGTTATCAGAGCACCAGAGAAGCTGAAATCAAATTGAAAAGTGAAAGCAGAGTTAAACTTTTTTACTTGGACCCAGATGCCCAGGTAAGAATTATTTTAATATTTAAAATTTAAATCTAGTGGGTTGGGAGGAGAAAATATTTGGTGTTTGATGCTTATTTGTGTTATTATAGATTGTTAAACTGTGTAACAACTTTCAAAAATTGGGTAAAAATAGAATAGCAAAAAAAATCTGTGTTCTCAATACCCTAGCATAACCATGGACCTTTAGTATTGAAAGATGTAGCAAGGACATTCTCAAATCCAATGATCATCTAATTTAATCATTGTAATAGCCTTTAAAAAAATGTCAAGCTTCACTGCAAACACACAGTGATAGTTTGTGACTAGCCCAGGCTCAGACCTAGCTACAAACCACACAGGGCATGGGGCCACATCTGTATCCCAGTGAAGTCCAAACTTGATGTGGTGAGACCCTAGAAGGATGCCCACGACAGTGAGCATCTCACAGCTGCCCTGAGGAACAAAAGCTGTGCAGTGTTTCATCCCAAATGTTTTCCCTCTACTTTGATGATCTGTTTTTTATATTTTTGAGGTTTTTTTTTTTTTTTTTTGCCTATGTGGTGCTGAGGAATCGAACCCAGGGCCTCAGACATGCTAGGCAAGCGCTCTACCACTGAGCCACCTTCCCAGCCCTGATAATCTGTTTTTGTAGAACTTCTCCCATTTAATGATAAGTAGTTCTCTGTGTACATATGTATACATGCATATATGCATGTATATGTGTTTATTTACAAGAAAAAATATATATATATATTTGCCATTTTAGCTATTTTTAAGTATATGGGTCAGTGGCATTAAATGAATCCTTATTATACAATCATGACCTTTATCCATTTCCAAAACTTTTATATCTTCTCAAATGGAAATTTATTGACTAATAATTTTCCATTCCCCCTTCTCCCCAAACTCCTGCTAACCTCTTTTCTACTTTGGTCTCTATGAATGTGCTATTTTATGAACCTCATAAATATGGCATCATACAATATTTGCCCTTTTTATGTCACATTTCTTTCACTTACATGTGTTTTCACACTTCATCCACATTGTCAACATTTCTTTGTTTATAGATGATTAGTATTCCATTGTGTATTTATATATATATATATATGCATATTCGTATATCACATTTTGTGTATTCTAACACATGTTAACGGACACTAATGCTATCATAATCATAATATTAAGCCCTATCTAATAATCCTTTGAGTAATTATATCATCATTTACTTGATCATCAGTATAAATAAATATACTATTATAGGCTGGGTATTTATTGTAAATAGGAACAGTATTGTTAAACAGTGAACAATTTTAGGAAATTTTATTTGGATACATTTAGGATGAAAATTTTTTTAACTGTAAGCATTATATATTTTTATGTTTATATTTTTTTTAAAGAAACTTGACTTCTCATCAGCTGAGCCAGAAGTGAAACCATTTGAAGAGAAATTTGGAAAGAGGATTCTTGTCAAGTGCAATGATTTATCTTTCAACTTGCAATGTTGTGTTGCTGAAAATGAAGAAGGACCCACTACAAATGTAATTTTCCTTTTTAAAAATAAAGTTAATATTTAAGCATTCTAGATGTGATAGATTTCCCATTCTAGTGAATCTTGGATGTGAAATCTTAGTTCATAGTATCAGAGAGGGTTCACTATTTAGGATAGGGTTGTTCAGCCTGCTGGGCCAGGATACTTGTGCTCAGGGATAAGATGGCAGGATTATGTTCAGTGTCCCAGGAGATGGATTTCATCTAGATTCTTGAGGGAGAGCAGCTGGCTCTTTTCTGTGGAGCATACATTAAGTAGCAAAGCACAAGAAAGTAAAATAGTTTTATTTTCTAAAATGTTTTATAACCTAATTCTCTGTGTGACAAAGAACAACACTTTATATTTCTAGTAATTTTTGACAACAATTTATGACAACAATCATAATTAAATCTTACTGTTTCTTGTTTGATATCAACCTTCTTTCCTCCCTGCCCCCCAACCATTTGAAGTGCTGATCTGGATTTGTTTGTTTTGTTCAGGTAGAGCCTTTCTTTGTTACTCTGTCCTTGTTTGACATAAAATACAACCGAAAGATTTCTGCTGATTTCCATGTGGACCTGAATCATTTCTCAGTGCGGCAGATGCTGGCTCCCACATCTCCAGCTCTGATGAATGGCGGCCAGAGCCCCCCTGCCCTTCAGGATGTCCTTCATGCAGCTGCCATGCAGTATCCCAAGCAGGTAGGAAGCAAGGACTCGGCACTCATACTGCTTAGTCTTACCTTGCACATACTGCATAAATACATCAAAATGCCCAAATATAAATTTGTAAATGCACAAGTATGGTAATTTAGACTGTTAATTATATGGGCAGTCTATGTAACTGGTCAGTGAAAACAATCTGAGGGATAAGTGGTTTTGATTTCTCACTTCTTTTTCTAAGCTTTTTCCTAGTTACCCCTCCTACCAAATAGACTATTTCAGCAGATGAACTGTTGATCCAGTTCACTGTTTGGTACCAATGTTCCCTGGGCAGTATACTGGTTCACTGTTCTTTGCTGTGTTGATGGCCAGGGATTTATTAATCAGCTATGAATTCTACTAACTGAAGAAAATGGTTTATTTCCTAGGGAATATTTTCAGTCACTTGTCCTCACCCAGACATCTTTCTTGTGGCCAGAATTGAAAAAGTCCTCCAAGGGAGCATCACACACTGCGCTGAGCCATATATGAAAAGTTCAGACTCTTCTAAGGTATAATAGCTTTTTGTTTTATAATAAGAAGGTACCTGTAAAAAAGGCATTTGTGTCAAAATTAAAATGCTTAATCAAAGGTAAATCATATTTATACTCTAAAACACATAATATCATATATTTACCTTCCATTTAACTTTGTGTACAGTTCTTGCTTTGTGTGTGTGTGTGTGTGGTGTGTGTGTGTGTGTGTGTGTGTGTGTGTGTGTGTGTGTGTGTTGAGAATTGAACCCAGGGTGTTGGATGTGATAAGTATGCACTTCTATACCACAATCCCTATATGTCCAATTTGTAATGGAAAATAGTCTGACATGTAAATAAATACTTTACTAGTCTATTCTGACATCATGAAATAGCTTACAAAGGAATTACCAGCTTGATGCCTGATTTCCCCTATAAGTAAACAATACTGGATGGTTTAAAAAATACACTGGGACATGAGAATATTCTTTGGAGAAGAGCACAGAGGCACAGTAGTTATGTGCATCTGATCATATAAAATAATATTTATGAAGATGATCTCCAGAAACAAGAGATTTTTCTCTTTGTTGCTGTTTCTGTTTTCCTTTTGTCTCATTTGTTTATCTGTCTTTGGGAGGGGGCTAAAGGAGAGCATAGAAATAGTGGGAGAAGGGGTGAAAAAAATGTAGCAGTGATACTCACTAGACTCTATGTTGAAAATGAACTATACAACTTGTCGGTGAGTACAGGAGGGAAAAACTAGAAGAGAGCGAGGGGTGACCTTATTCAAAAAAATATATACTCTTTATCTGACTTATGTAACTGTAACCCCTCTGTATATTACCTTTACAAATAACAGTTTTTAAAAGTGCTATATTAGAATCATAGTTCATGCTACTTGTTCATGTGTCATTTGGGTTCTAGAATTATATTTGGGTATGTTCATGCAAGTCTAAAACCTTGGATAAGAAGTTTTTTTATGTTTGATATATTAATTAATGAAGACCTCAGATCAGATTTATTCTGTGTCTGTGTTTGTAGCATACTTCCCAGACCCATGCCCATGAGTGTGGTCACTTTTGCTTGTTGCATACTGGGATTAAAATTTGACAGATCAAGTTCACATTATTCAAGTAATGTAAAAGTCTGCAGCTCATAGCTGTATACTTGTGGCTTATATCTGTAATCTTATCTAGATGAGGAGTTAAGATGGTGAGGATTACAGTTAAAAGGTAGCCTAGGCGGAAAAGTTCTCAAGACTCTGTCTCAATGGAAAAAGCTTGGCATGGTGGCATGTTCCTGTTATTCAAGATATAGCAGGAAGCTGAAAATAGGAGGATGTGGGTCAAGTTCAAATGCTTGGGTAAGGAAATAAAACTATCTCAAAAGTAGTGAGCACAAAAAAGGGCTGGAAACATTGTTCAATGGTACAGTGCCTACCTAGCAAGAATGAATTTCTTTTTTTTTTTGGTCCAGTCATGGGGCCTGAACTCTGGGCCTGGGCACTGTCCCTCAGCTCTTCTGCTCCAGGCTAGCGCTCTACCACGTGAGCCACAGAGCCACTTCCGGCTTTTTTCTTCTTGCTTAGGTGGTGCTGGGGAATTGAACTCAGGGCCTTAGGCATGCAAGGCAAGTGCTCTACCACTGAGCCACCTTCCCAGCCCTGCAAGAATGAATTTCTAAGTTCAGACTCTACTATTGCCAAAAAAAAAAAAAGAATACCACTCAATACTCTGACTAAATCAATCAAACTGCATTGATTTGTTGTATCATTATAATACAAGCAAGTTTGGGCATTTAGAAATCATCTGCTTTAGTAATAAAGCTCTAGTTGATAAATAATAGACCTATTGTTCATACACATGTGCCCCAAAACAAATATACCTCAGTTTGCATGATAGGGTTAATCAATGAACCTACAACAAAATTCATCATTAGGAAGTAAAAGTACAAATAATTTATACTTAGCAAAAGTCAAAATTGAAAACTCTAGCCTGACTGAAGTCAGTATTAATAATGTTTTAATATAAACATCTCCTGAATTATAGTGTCTTGCACAAGCTGGTTTAAGAGCTGTGAAAGCTTAATGTTTTTATTGGTCATCTTTTTTTAAAGTTTTATTTAAACTCTGATAATGTAGTATGTTCAGTAAAGAATACTAATTAGCGTTTACTACAATAAAAAAAGCATTTACTAATAACCTGTTTAGACTTACCATTAACATAGCCCTTAGTCAAAATGCCTTGTTTGTTGTAAGCAAATACCAACAAAAAAGTACCCCAAAAAAGCAGTTTAGAAAAAAATACTCATTCTATTATTTTTGAGAATCACTGCCAGAAGATACATTAAATAAAGAAGGCTGCCCCAAGTGTGAATATAGCTATATTCCCTTCAGTAAGGTATACTTTTCCATGCATCTGAGGCTGTAGAGAAAGCTTGTTTAATGAAGGTATGGTGTGATGGCAATTATCTAACACTCTTACCAATAGGAAGTAGTATCTCATGACTTTATTTTGATGTCTTCAAGGTTGCTCAGAAGGTGCTGAAGAATGCCAAGCAGGCATGCCAAAGGCTAGGACAGTACAGAATGCCATTTGCTTGGGCAGCAAGGTAAGGGGATACTTGTTACAACTTTCATAGAGACAAATAGATACATAGATAAGTAGGTAGGTAGCCCTGTTCTATTTGTTATCCAAAGAGGATCTGAATGTATAAAACCTGAAATTTTATTTAGAAGACTCACAGAGACGAAAAATGCTGTACAAAGAAGTGTGGTCTGTCCTTGGTAGGATGGGCAAGAAAGAGGTTTGTTGCAGAGAGATTCCAAGCCCGAGCCAGCCATTAGCCTCCAGCTGGGAGTGGGTAGCAGACAGAGGTCTGCAGTGGCCCATAGCTGTGGTCTGTACTTCTTTCACATTTGAATGCATATGCTGTTTCCTAAGTACAAGCCTTTGGCTGGAACTGTTTTCTGGATAAAATTGAATTAGTTGATTCATCCTCAGTAATGTTTTCTACACTTTTAGATAATGAAATTTCTGTTGGCTACAGCCAATGGAATAATAATTACTCTGTACATAGAAACCACAGTAAAATGATGAATTTATTTTGGGTTTTTAGAAACACAGCTTAGGAATGTTGCTTTGCTTTTTCAGGACATTATTTAAGGACACCGCTGGAAACCTGGACAAAAATGCCAGATTTTCTGCTGTCTACAGGCAAGACAGCAATAAGCTATCAAATGATGACATGCTCAAGTTACTTGCAGACTTTCGGAAGTGAGTTTTAGCTTACTTGTTTTCATACCTGAAAAATAGAAATTGTAAGGTGGAAAGTGAGGGGCAAGGGGCAGTCGTCATATGTATTGTTTAACACAGGTGTCATACTGTGATGGGAAGTGGGCATGGCACATTTCCTAGGAAAGAGTAAAAGGTTCTCTATCATTGGCTGGTTAATTTGACTTCAGTACAGGCTGTTTTGTGTGGAGCTGTGACAAGTGAAGTAGAAATATCTTAGGGAAGGAGAGATTGAGGAACCCTGTTGAGAAATGACAAAGGTCACCTAAATGCCCCTGCAATCCCTCTCCCCTTGGCCCTACCTTCCCCTTTTGCAAGTACCCATTTCCTGGTACTTATTTTGTTGGTCTTTGACTTAGTCTTTGTAATGAATTATACTATTTGCACTCTCCATAGGGTCTTTTGCACTTCACTTAATTCATTTGTAACTCCTTGCTTACCATACAGTGTGTTTATTTAAAGATTTATGGGCACATTCTAGCTATCACATAAGAGAAGAAACCATGTAATCTGTGTTTCTGTGGGTCTGGATTGCTTTGCTTAAGATAATTTTTCCAAGTCTTTCCATTTCTTTATGAATGCTATAGTATGAATGCTACAGACATATGAATAAAATTTAGTTGTGCATACACACACACAGACAAATACACACACACACACACCACATTTTCTTCATCCATTGAGAGGCATCTGGGCTAAAAGAGGGGAAGAGGGGAAAATAAGGGCAAAAATTCATTGTATATACCATAGAATTGAGAAATATAAGGAAAGAGGTAGATCTAAGAGAGATGAAGATGTTGAAGAGATGGCACAGATCAAGATGCATTATATAAACGCTCCTCAACGGAAACACTGCTGGAGGAATATCAATACCAAACTTCAAACTCTACTATAAAGCCATAGTAATCAAAACAGCTTGGTATTGGCATAAGAACAGACCTCAGGACCAATGGAATAGAATTGAAAACCCAGAAATG